TTGCCTTGTCTCAGGAATGGATATATGGTGTCTGTGTATAGGTTTGTAACCTGAGCCAGCACTACAGGAAGAGGCACTCAGCTGCAAAGGGAAGTTCTGCCCAAGCATGAGAAGAGAAGACAAGTAAAAACATTTTAAAAAATAAAGTAAAAAAAACTAAAATGAAAAAAGTTTAAAAAAGTATTAAATAAAGTAAAAAATAAAAAAATAAAGTTAAATGAACTAAAATTAAGAATAAAAAAAATAAAAAAGTTTAAATAAATAAAAACACAGCCTCCTGAGACCCACAGCCTCCTAAAGCCTCACACAGCCATCAATTTTCCATTACAGTTGTGCCTCATGTTTAAGTTTCCCCTAAGGTAGAGGTGTCAAACTCAAATACACAGTGGGCCAAAATTTTAAAAATGGTCCAAGTCGAGGGCCAGGCTGGTTCACACAGGATAATACCGTGGTCTATACAGTACACTGAGTGGCCAGATTATTATGACCACCCCATCAGTACTTCGATGGGCCACCTTTTGCCTTCAATACTGCGGCGATTCTTCTTGGCATTGACTCCACGAGATGTTGAAAGGTGATGCGAGGAATCTGACACCATGCCTGATGAATAGCACTGTCCAGTTCTGTGAGATTTGATGGTTGTGGAACCAGCTGCCTGATGGCTCTTTCAACTTCGTCCCACAAATGCTCAATTGGATTGAGATCTGGTGATTGTCGGGGCCACCTAAGCAAGGTAAAGTCTCCCTCATGTTATTGAAACCACTTCTGCACAATAGGAGCACCGTGGCATGGCGCATTGTCTTGCTGGAAGAAGCCATCTCCATTGGGATACGCCATCAACATGATCAGCAACGATACTTTGGTATGTTGTGCTATTCAGACGTTGTTCCACGTGAATTAAAGGGCCCAAATAATGCCAGGAATACATGCCCCAAACCATAACATGCCCCCACCAGCGTGAAGGGTTGTACTCATGCATGTGGGGTGCATGCTTTCATGTTGTTTCCGCCAAATTCTCACTCTGCCATCTGCATGATGCAACTGGAAACGTGATTCATCGGACCACATTACTTTTTTCCAATGCTCGACTGTCCAATTCTTGTGTTCCTGCGCGAATTGGAGACGTTTTATTTTGTTAACTCCAGACAGCAAAGGTGTTCAAACAGGCCTTCGGCTTCCATATCCCATACGATGCAGTGGATCCCTGATTAAGATCTGCAGTAATTTGATGCACACATTGCCCTTCTGCTGTCTTGTACCAGTCTTGCCACTCTCTGTTCTGCCCTAACATTGACTAGTCGCTGACGGCCACAATTCGCACGTTCAGACCCAGATTTTCGGCTGACAGTCCAGTCTTTAAACACTTTAACAACAGCTGCTCTTGAACATTTAAACGAATTCTGCTGATTTGCTGATATTCGCTCCATGGCTCCGAGCGCCAACAATCATCCCATGTTCAAAGGCTGTTAAATCGCGTTGTTTACCCATATCTTCAGAAAAAAATCACTTCTACTGTCGTGGTAAACAACCTGCTTCCCTATTTATAATGGTCTGGCCCTCTAGCAACTTCAGCGCGAAATTATAGCTAATTTGCCTAAAAACGTCAGGTGGTCATAATAATCTGGCCACTCAGTGTATATGACACAGTATAATACAGCGGCATATACAGTATATCACACAATATAATAACAAAGCCTGTACTTTTAATTATTAAAAAGCATGATACATAATTACAATAAAGCATTTTTTTTAAACTTTTTTATTTACTTTCCCTTTTAAGAAATAAATATTTAAATAATAAAAGCCAAAAACAGACATTAAATAGTACATTTACAACAAAATAATTTACTTACGAAAAAGATTTTCCATCTGGAAGATCATCAATTAGAGATGTTTTAAAAAATTGTTTTATCTCTATT